TATTTATTTATTTATTTATTTTTGCGACTTTGCTTTTGTCTTATTGCCCCTCAGCAGGCGGCGGGAGTCAGGGCCCAGGCTGGGGCTGCCTGGCTCAGCCAGCGGGTCTCTACAATGTGTGCGGAGGTGCCACTCGCCCCCTGCAGCGAAACGAGCCATCAGGAATGTCTCGAAGTCCGGGAAAGGTCGGCCCCTGGTCCTGGTGGTTTCGGGTGGGGCGGAGCCGCGCCGCAGGGCCAGCGGGTCCCCTCCCGCAGCGGTCAGACGTCGAGAGAGGAGGCGGGGGGAGAGGGAGGGGGCTTGAGGGGGCGCGGCAGGCGCCGGCCCCACGCCCCCAGCACCCAGCACCCGTCACTGGTAGATGCTGGCGTCCGTGCCGCCCAGCGAGAGGAGGGGCGAGTCGTTGTGCGTGAACCGGATACTGGTCACGTGGCTGCCATGGCCGCCGTACACGAGGCTCGGCGCCTTAGCGTGCGCGCACGGGTACTGGAACAGGTGCACTTTGCAGAAGTCGTTGGCCACGGCCAGCACGCGCTCGTTGTGGGAGTGGCACAGGGAGTTGACGTCGGTGCCATCTGAGCCGTCTGGCCACACGCCACAGACATGGAAGCCCAGCACGCAGGTATAGGTGGCCCACTCCCGGTCTAGGCTGTCATAGCGATTCCTCAGCAGCTTGCAGCCTCCAACTACGTAAAGTATCGCATAGTCCCCAGAAGTGGACATGATGAAACTCCCATCCTTGGACCGGTCAAGGTGAGTGATGAAGCTGGAGTGACACACACAAGTCAATAAATTTTTGATATGTGTTGCAGCAGCAATAAGAAACTTCTGGGTTACCTCTATGTATCATTTGCCATAAACCCTGGACCACAGAGCTGTTATCAGTGCACACCTCAGGGTGACAGTAGCTGGAGAACATGTGCTGAGGGCACAGGTTCGGAGAAGAAAGGATGAAGTGGAATCCAAGTGGAGCTTCTAGTAGTGAGTTCCCACTGCGTTTCAGATATTGTGCTGAATGCTTTACACATGTTATCTCTTGAACTTTTTCTCTTTATTATCTTTTTTAAATATCTTTGAGGTATCCACTGCTTGTCTTCATGAGTATTGATGGTCTTTAATTGTAAGCTCATTATTTGATCATTATTTGTGGAAGTCTTAAATTCTAAATTGCACCATCTTTCCTTTAGAGAGGTCAGTAGCCAGTGGCCATCACCAAACAGTTCAGTTCCCTTGAGAGTCTTGGCTTAGCAGGAGAATCATGGGTTCAGATTCCAGTGGCCCAAGCCTCAGAATTACTATAGGGTTAAAGAAGATAAAAAGATTGCAAAATCCCATATATTTTTTTATCTTTCTGGAAGGATTTATGAAAGAAGGGCTATGGAATTTGTCTCCCAATACTAGTTGACAAAGATTTAACGGGACTTAATCTGTTCTTTCTGTATCTTTATCTCTTGTTTTGTTTAATTTCTTCCTTTTAACCAAATGTTACAACCAGGAAACATAATCTGTATGTAACATCAGCACACGCTCTCCACATTCTTCCGAGGAATTTGGTCTCCTCATTGGTGTACCATATATAGTACCAGTAATGGGTTTTGAGCCAGCTATGTTTATCTTGGAACTCGTTTTTTCAAGAATCTGGATGTTCCAGGGTATCTAAAAGAGGCCAGGGCTCAGAGATCCTATCTGTGTCCACATTATCATAGGCCTTGGCGGAATGAGCTTTGTGGCAACTCCCGCTAAGTTGTCCACAAGATGTGAAGTACCACTGCAAGCAGCTTTGATGGCGGTTTTGCACAGATGAAGGGAAACAGAAAACAACCCTTTAAAAAGTTGCTCTTCTGTTCCTCCAGCTTTCCTCTCTGCTTCACTTCTCCTTCCAAGTAGTGTCTTTCTCCTTTCAAACCCTTTCCACCAATGAAAATAAGAAGGATCCTGATGTCATGTCATCATTTGCATTTGGTTGAACTTCATTTTGTTCATGGGTTAGCTATTCCAGGTCTTTCTATTTTTAAGTGTATCTTGAATTTCCCCAGGCTCCACCCACCAACCTATAAGGACAAATTAAGTCACTGATTCTTTGCTCTGACTTGCTGGACTAGACCCTCCATACTTCCACACCAGTTGAAACCTTACCCCAGTTCATTCTTGGCATCTTTCAAGATGTTTCGGATGCTCTGAAACACGTCTGCTCTTGTTCTTTCATCTGGCCTTCCGATTATGGCCTTACTTACCTCAAAAGCAATTTGAAAGAGGGGCCACCCTACTACCTTGGCTGCTGGCAACCCCCCTGGGAAGGCTACTTCCCTGACTAGGGTACAATTGGGGGTTCTTTCCCAACTTTATATCTTCACGGTATCAAGGGACACTCACTTCTTTCAGTTCTCACTGTGTTCAAGTTACCCGTATGGTGTTTTGTGACGTGTTGGGCTAGATGTCCCCCAGATTGTTGCAGTTTGTCAACTGGGCCCTTAAACAACTTTGCTTTGGCCTGTGGATCTCACAAAATCCATCTTGAAGATAGTCCCTTTGATTTTACCTGCCATTTTAGCTTTTTGTGTGTTTTTTTATTTAGGAAAATAAGAATTTGCTGCTACAGTAATAGCCTTTAATCTACACGTCCCATTCCCTCTCCCTGGTTTCCTTCCTAAAGGTGACCACAATCACCTGAAATTGATGTATATTTTTCTCAAGTATATTCTTTGTGATTACTACATAGTACAGATCCATAAATTATATGTTGCATTGTTATGCATGCTTTAAACTTCATATAATTGGTATTATACTATGTGCATTCTTCTTCAATTTAACTCTTTTTTGCATAATTATGCAAAACATAATTATGTTTTTTGAGATTTATGTGTTGATACACATAGTTCTATTTAAATTCCATCATATGACAATGTCACAATGTATTTGTCTATTCTCCTACTGGTTGATATTTATTTCCAGAAACTTTTAGCTATTAACTACTACAAAAATACCTCTATAATTTTTCTTTTTCCTTCTTTTTTTTTTAAAGATTTTATTTATTTATTTGAGAGAGAGAATGAGATAGAGAGAGCATGAGAGGGGGGAGGGTCAGAGGGAGAAGCAGACTCCCTGCTGAGCAGGGAGCCCAATGTGGGACTCGATCCTGGGACTCCAGGATCATGACCTGAGCCGAAGGCAGTCGCTTAACCAACTGAGCCACCCAGGCACCCTTTTCTTTTTCCTTCTAAAGGGATCTGAAGCAATTGTAAGTGTGAAAAATTTAGAATGAGGAAGTATGATCTCTTCAGAGATCATAGAATTGTCACTCAAGGTCACAGTACTTAGGTAGAGTTTGGGAAAAGGGTAGTAGGAAGACAGAGTTGCTTTCCTAGAATATCCCTTCCTTTCTTCTTATCGTCTCCCTAACTCTCACAACTTTTTGCTTCCTCTTTTTCTGCCACCAAAACTCTCCTATATGGTCAATCCAGAGCCCATCCAATCTCTTACAGTGAAAATAGTCTGCTTTTGGGATTAAGCAGATCTGAGTAAAAATAATGCCTCTACCTCTATGAAAACGTGAACAAAGTTGTATAATCCATCTAAACTTCATTTTTCTCATCTATTAAAATTAGAATGTTATTAATGACTCTATAGTGTTATTGTGAGGAGTAAGAGATAATGGGGTAGGAGGACTTAGAGCAGACTGGACTCTTATAGAGAGATGTTGTGTGTCGCCTCCTGTCAAAACCCCCCGGGGGCTCTGTGACTTCGAGCCTTTCCACATTTCTCTAGCAAGGCAATCAGCTTTTTAAATGCGGGCACAGGTCTCCTAGTGTTTCCAGAGAAAAGAAATACAAGTTGTCCGTTTCAAGGCCTGAGGCTGGCAATTGGTGCAGAGCCTTTTCTGTTTGTCGAAGCAGCAGTAGATAACCTCCTAACTCATCTCTTCAGAAATAATTTCTTCCTTCAGACTGTTAACAATTTCCCATTGTGTTTAACATAAATTAACTTTACACATGGGAGACCCTGAGTAATGGTTTCCCGTCTTCTTTTCTAAACTCACCTCAAATCACTTTCCCCCCACTTACTATGTCTCAGCTCTGCTTCAGCTCTTTTGCATGTAGCAGACTTCCAGAAACTCTGTGACTTAAAATAACGATTTTTTATTTCTCACAGTTCTATGGAGTGGGAGTGATGGGTAAAGGGAATAGGAGGGTTGGTTTACTGGTTTTGCCTGGACTCACTCATGCAGCTGTATTTAATTAGAGGATTGGCAGGGAGCTAAGTTCAGCTGGGACTCTGGGATGACCAGGTTTTGCTCTCCAAGTGGTATTTCCATTTAGAGGAGACAAGACCAGGCAGGGCTTTTCTCATGGCCCATCTATGTTCTAAACAAGCACTTATCAAGCCTGTGCTTGTGTTGTGTTGATGTCCCATTGGACAAAAAAGTCACAAGGCTAAGCCCAAAGTCAATAATGGGAGGGGGCTACATTCGGGCGTGGACATCAGGAAGCAGAGTTCAATGGGGGCCATGCATGTGACAAGACCCAATGGCCTGATTTTGTTTCCTAGAATGTACTGAGATTTTTTTTCTACCTTAGCATCTTTGCATAGTTTCTTCCTTTATTTATTCAACAACTATTTAAACACCCACAGATAGTGGAAAAATGCTCAGGGCTTTCATGCAGCTTTCCTTCTAAAGGGAAGAAACACACAATAAGCAAGTGAAAAACTAAACAAGAAAATTTTTATGGTGAGTAGAACTCTGAAGAAATAAATCAGGATGGCGGGTAGCAAGTGACTAGCAAAAGAAGAAAAG